AACCTTCTGGTACCGTGTGAGTGATTGCCAAGCTGGGGGGCTAAAGGAAACCCCCAGAAGGAAGGGGGCATTGTAAGTATCCGGTCAGGAGCACTTGAACTCCCCCAGATCATCCCAAGCAGTGTTCTTGCTAACTTTTGCCATCTCCGTGCAGAATAAATTTTGTTACGTGCACCAATGCATGAGCAGATGTGCACCACCTGTCAAAACACATGCTGGCCATGCTTTGCTAGTCAGCTGGCCAGCGCTCTCCTGGGCGGCCACCCAAGCACTCAGCTTTCAGGGAACACTGCTCAGGTTTGATTCTGTGCTGACTTGACCTTTCGTGCTTTTGCTGGGGGCGGGAAGGGGGTGTATCTGGCTTAGGACGTTACGGGCCAAATCCCTGTTTGCTTTAGTGGGACACATGCCTGTTTCCTGAAGAGCTGAGGTTCAACCTGGTGCCTGTGGCCCAAAACGTTCTCTTCTCTCCTTATTCTGCAGCATGGTCTCTGCTCGCTGGGGGCTGCGCTCCAGCCCAGAGGTGGCTGCCTCTCAAATTTTGGTGCTCTCTAAACTGCTGGGGGGGGGGGAAGGAGGGATCTTTGCTGGCTGTCATCTTGAGAGGCAGGCAGCAACAGGACTTCAAATATGTGGCACTACAATTCTTTCTTCTCCATAAATATCCTGTCCCAGGCGAGTGCAGCAACAGAGAATGCCCCTTCCTGCACATTGACCCAGCCTCCAGAATTAAGGACTGTCCCTGGTACAACAGAGGGTTCTGCAAACAGGGTGAATGCTTTGTGCTTGGTAACTACGGGAACGGGAGCGGGGGCCTAAGGGGCGGGATGCCTGGGTTCTATTCCTGGCTCGGTTACTGAGGTGTGGCGTAGCCTTTTTTTTCCTTCCTGCCTCAGTTTGCCCATCTGTAAAATGGGCCCGATACTTGCCTGGCAGCACTCTGGGCATATTGAAGGCCCTTCAAGTGCTTTGAGATCTTCCAGTGATAAACACTTTGTTCTCTATAGAGTCCCTTGCATTATTCTGCAACACGTGATTGTTCATGAAGCTAATTAAAAAATTGGCAACCAACAGGAGGTAGAAATGGAAAAGGGTACGTGTGTAATCTGGCCCTCATGACCCCCAAAATGCATGGCCATTGGATATGGTCTGTGTCTAAGCAGCTGGCTGGAATTCTGGGCACTGAGCACACAGTGGGGGGCAGGGAGTTAGACTGTAAAGAAGAAATGAGGCCACAAACTCTTCACAAAGGGGGGGGAGGCTCCCTGCTCTGGTCCCAGGAAAAGACCCATCGCTGACCCAGCCCCAGTGGCGG